CCCAACCAACAACACACACCACAAAATAATCAAGGGGAAGCAATAATAGGCAAAAGCACATCTAGGAGATCTACAACATGAATAAATATTTTGCCATTATATCGAGGATTTCCTAAGGTTTGTTCTACAGCTTTTGTAGGATATTATCAATTTTAGAATCATTCATTTCAAGAGAAAGAGCTCTTTTTCATGATACTTAAGGAAAAGCAGTTCTGCTACCTGTACAAAGAAGATGTGCTGAAGTTGCGTCGAAGAAACTTCGCAACATGTTCAAGTGCTCGGCATAAAACAGGAATCAAAGCAACTGCTTAGCATTGATCAATTAACACATGTTATTGAACCAATAGACCACATTTCTATAAAATCACAGAGAACGAGAGGGACAAACAAAAATAGACCAAAGTGAAGCTCACATTTCAAGTAAAGATGTGAAGTGACAAAAGTAAGGCAGTAAATGAAGTAGATAAAATCTTTCGTCACAATAACTGACTGAAACCAAACTTGCACGGCCTGCAAATTCCAAGCGCTAGGCTTCTGCAAAAAGGGGATTAGATTATCAAAAGTCACCTCATAGGCCAAAAGACGTGAACTAGCCTCAACAAAGTAAGAGGGGCGAATCTGCATTCAGAATTTACCCCATATAATGAGTATAATGAATATAGGGAAGAACATGCAGTTCCTGCAAAGGCCAGTCGAAATGCTCTGTTTGACAGATTTGCAGGTATAAGTGGTAAGATAGCAAGAACTGCCACAACAAGAACCTGCAGAGAAGAGTACCAAAAATTAATCGAAAGAGATGGCTAGCTATTCTGTAATCAAATCAATCGCAAGAGCGATAAACCCAATCATCAAAATCATCTAGCGCATGATTTCCACGCTGAAAGTCAATGGCACATTAGAAAGCACAATGGAACAGGCAGAAATGCTTCAGTGAGATTAAGATAGAAGTTTATATGAAGCTTGATCTCAGAAATCCCAAGAGCTCTTAACAGACAATTTTCAGAGCTAATGAAATGTACAAAGGGCTCTCCCCTCTGCGCTGCAAGAGACAGGGCATCACTGACAGAAGGAATTAACGTACTGTGACATCTAAAAGGAAATGGAAACCAAATACAGTATTTATTTTGGAAAACTGACAAACACCCATTGATGAGTCAAGTTTTTCCATAGCTTGTCTCCTGGAACTTAAACAGCAAATTCAAACAAAAGGTGATATCAAGAAGAGGTAAGATATCATGCAATGATATTTCTGATTAACGACAAAGTGGCCTCTTTCTTCCCCCTTCTCTTTCATAGCATCCCCTCTCCCCTCCCCAATTAATCAAGGCTAAAAGAAGTCATGATGAAAAGCAATACTTCTACAAGGAATTTTTCCATAATGTATCCTGTTCATAGAGAGGCATCACCTGATAGTAAAAGTTGGCATGTGGTAAAGCCTGCATATCAGATTCCATCACTGTAAAGGAGATGAGGTCCTATCCTTGAAAGTATATATCCAATTTTGGGCTCTTTTTGCTAAAAAGAGTTAACAATTAATCGTGTATCACATAGAGCAGTTACTACATTTTAATTTGTTGGAAGAAGGAAGCAGCCAATCAAAACTTTCTCGCACAGAAAATCATGGTGCAAAAGATAAAAAGAAAATGTTAAAAAAATTCAAATCACTAAGATGAATATATGGTACCCAAGCATTCACTGAAAATTGTAGAGTTTGTCGATTCCATCGCAGCAATGTTGCACTTGAAGCTGGAGTCGTGGATGTTCCAGAAGTTCTACTAGCTGGCCCTGAAATAAATATCATTTGGATGAAATACACATTTACATTTGAAGTGAAGATGTCTACCACGCAACGGGGCTTTTTTGTAACCTTTTCTCAACCAAAAAGGGGCACTTTTTATTCATTCAGAGTTCACTAGTAAGAAAGAAATTTATACCAGAGTTACGTTGTCTTGGCTGGTTGTTAGAAGTTGATGATGACGACGACGATGAAGAAGATTGTGGGGCTGATGATCTTGCTGCTTGGGACGAACTGCTGAGAGTCATTGGTTCAACAATTAGACCAGGATCCTGGGCACATAGATACAATCAACAATGTGAACCTCAGAGGAAATTTCCCCACAATTAAAATAATAATCATCCCCTGATTATTTAGATCATCTGAAATTCTACTGTCAGTTACAGCCAAGCTTCAGAGCCCGTCAGAAAGGGTAGATAAGTCACTTATAGCAAAGTTTAGAATTGGAATACACTTCAAGTTACTGCAAGTTAAATATCTCTCGCTGTTACTCAGTCCATAGTATAGTACTGGTATGTCAGGACGGTTTACACCACTATATAACATATAACAGAAAACTAACGGAGGAGAGTATTTCATATGCTCCGGTACAACAAAACAATACGCAACTATGATCTAAACATTAGGAACTTATACAGTAATGCAAAACAATCACATCATAGAAAGAGAAGCAAGTGATACACTTGACCCATGAGAGGAAGAAGCAGAAGAAGAAGGAAGTGGGAACAGCCAAACGAAGCAAACATGAAAGTCTCTTCCCAATTTAATCAAGTCAAACTTTGTCAACATTGTATTCATCAGCAATGGATTCATATAAAAACAAGCTAAGGAAGAAGAGGATGAGACAAAGTGACCTGAATGAACTTCAGAGATAAAGGCCTCCGTGTGGTCAGGGAGCCTCCATAAATTTCATTTGGCACCATATGACATAATGCAAGGGATAAGAAAGCAGTGCACTACAGTTGATGGGGCTGTAAGAAAAGGCCTACAAAAACCTCATACTTAACACGCAACTCCACAAGAGCAAGAAAAAAAAGGATAATTTGTGAAATGTCAAATAAACAGTATCAGCTCAGACTGTAATAAACCTCAAACACTGAACTAGGGCAACTAAAGTACACATCGGAGAAAAGCTGAACATGCAGAGAAGAGAGGTATTATGGTCAAAAAAGCCAAAAACCAGTTCTGCACATACACAAACTCATAATCGAATGAAATCGGCATCCCGGCATCAAGATTACCCCGGAAACTAAGCCTTCCGAATCAACAGAGGGACATTAGATCCATTATTATACCACAAAAAGTCCGGCATTAATTAACAGGCGAAATACAAGGATCTCGGAGCAGTTAGAAAAGAATACTGTAAACAGATATAGTGTGTATATACAAATGAAATGCAAATTCAATAAGTTCATCAACTAAGCACCAAATCTCAAGCTAATTGGAGTCATCATCTATATATGTTCCGTTCAATTCGGCCCATCAAGGCATATGATGAATAAGAAAAAGAAAGAAAACGTACAATGTAACGCTGGTAGAACTTGCGCTTGAAATGGTGGACAACATCGGAGCGGGAGCCCATGTGGGGAGGAATGAGGATGTTGGACCAGTAATCGGCCCATCTGGGATCATTCTCATAGTCATACGCCGCCGCCGCTATTCTCTTCAATTTCTGTGGATCATCTACTCCTTCTTCTCCCATCGCTCCCTCGCTCCCTGCTACTGCTAGTAGTTGTAAAAATCCGTGGAGTAGTCGATGCTGCTTCTACTACTCTTCACAGTCGTTTAGTAGCAGGGAGTTCTTTGGAACTCTTTTGACGGGCAGCGCTGGAGAAGGATGTTTCCCGAAAGAATATTCCAAATACATTAATTTTGTTATAAAATAAAAGCAATGCACTAAAATATAAATAAACAACAACAACGACCCAGTAAAATCCCACAAGTGGAGTCTGGGGAGGATATAGTATGTATGCAGACCTTACCTCTACCACAAAGGAGTAGAGAAGCTGTTTCCGGAAGATCCTCGGCTCAAGGTAATAAGAAAAACAAAATGTAAGAAGTCTTTTCTTCTTTCACTTTGGTTTATCTTTCCACTGCAATTACATAGCTTTTTGTGATGACCCGCCATGTCATCATGCCACATAGGCGTCATTTGGCATATATTATTGCCTTGTGGAAGCTTACATAAGAAGAAAGCTAGCATTTGTGAGAAGATTCTAGAGCGGTATGAATATTTCCTTAGGAAGAACCTAGATCCTTATGGATTTGCTAGGAAAGTGCTTGGAATCTTCTAGTCTTGTAGAGAATTCTAGAAAAAGTCCTTATCTTGTAAATATCAAGGACTTGTGTAATAATTAATATTTACACAATAGCCCCTAAGAGACTAGTATATAAAGTGGGTCATTCATTTGTAATTCATCAAGCAAACAATTCAAGTTCTCTCTAATACAAAGTTTCCTTTAATAATTCTCTTGTGTTCTTTCTTCCATTCTCTTAGCGATCCTAAGTGTAGTGAGGCTGACTTGACATAGCAAGAACGTGAGCAAGTTGTGCAAGATCGTAAGCGAGTTGTCAAGTGTCGCACGTGCACTTAGTTAACAACTAAGGACGTGACACTTTTATAGGCATAAAAAATAAAGATGATGGACATAAAGTAGGAGATTTAATCTTTAAGTTATTCACAACATGGGCATCCAATGTAGCATACAATGTACAAACGATGCTATTCACAATATGGGTATCCAATGTAGCATCCAATGTACAAACTATTTATAACACTCTCCCTTGGATGTCCATGTAAGATAATGTGCCTCTTAAGAACTTACAAAAAAATATTGGGATATACATAGTTATTTATAATATGCATTACTTGCTGCCTCATTAAAAACCTTATCAGAAAAACCTAGTGGGACAAAACCTTGGTTAAAGAAAATAGTGCAGCGTGTAGTTACTCCCCCCTGATGAAAAATCACTTAATGTCTCGAAGACGACGTATTCCAATCTTATATATCAGTTTTTCAAATATTGAGGTTGGTAATGCCTTAGTGAACAGATCAACCAAATTATCACTTGAATGAACTTGTTGTACTTCTATTTCACCATTCTTCTGAAGATCATGGGTGAAAAAGAATTTCGGTGAAATGTGTTTTGTTCTATCTCCTTTGATATATCCTCCTTTCAATTGAGCTATGCATGCAGCATTGTCTTCATACAATATTGTTGGAATATTCTCTTTCGAAGAAAGACCGCATGTTTGTTGAATGTGTTGAGTTATCGATCTCAACCAAACGCATTCTCGACTTGCTTCGTGAATGGCTATTATATCTGCATGATTTGAAGAAGTAGCAACCATAGTTTGTTTTGTCGAACGTCATGATATGGCTGTACCTCCACTTGTAAATAAATAGCCTGTCTGAGAGCGACTTTTGTGTGGATCAGATAAATATCCTGCATCTGCATAACCAATCAATGATGGTTTGGATTCATTTGAATAAAATAAACCCATATCAATGGCCCCTTGGAGGTATCTGAATATATGTTTAATACCATTCCAGTGTCTTTGTATTGGCGAGGAACTAAATCTTGCCAATAAGCTTATTGAGAAAGCTATATCTAGTCGGAAATTATTGGCAAGATACATTAATGCCCAAATTGCACTAAGATATGATACTTCGGCACCAAAAAGCTCTTCATCATTTTCATGAGGTCGAAATGGATCTTTCTTTATATCAAGTGATCTCACAACCATCAGGGTACTCAATGGATGTGCTTTATCCATATAGAATCGCTTTAAAATCTTTTCGGTGTATGTTGATTGATGGACAAATATTCCATCTTTCATATACTTAATTTGTAGATCAAGATAAAATTTTGTCTTTTCAAGATCTTTCATTTCAAATTCTTTCTTCAAACAATCTACTGTTTTTGGAAGCTCTCCAGGAGTTCCAATGATATTTAAATCATCAACATACACGACGATTATAACAAATTCAGATCCAGCCTTTTTTATAAAGACACAAGGATAAATTGGATTATTCTTGTACCCTTCTTTCAATAGGTATTCACTCAGGCGATTGTACCACATACGACCTGATTGTTTCAATCTGTATAAAGATTTCTGAAGCTTTATTGAACAAGTTTCTCGAAATTTTTTATATGCTTCTGGTACTTTAAATCCCTCGGGTACTTTCATAAAAATTTCGTTGTCTAATGATCCATACAAATAGGCTGTAACAACATCCATTAGATGCATATCAAGTTTTTCTTGCACTGCCATATTTATGAGATACCTGAAGGTGATAGCATCCACTACAGGAGAATATGTCTCCATATAATCAATTCCAGGCCTTTGGGAAAACCCTTGTGCCACAAGTCGTGCTTTATATCTAACGACTTCATTTTTATCATTTCGTTTTCGCACAAAAACCCATTTATACCCTACTGGCTTTATGCCTTCAGGTGTTCGAACTATGGGTCCGAAGACTTCACGTTTTCCAAGTGAAGTTAACTCTGCCTGGATAGCGTCTTTCCATTTTGGCCAATCATTTCTCTGTCTACATTCATTGACAGATTTTGGTTCAAGATCCTCATCTTGTTGCATTATTTCAACAACAACATTATAAGCAAAAATGTTATCGGTAAAAATATTATTTCGGTTCCATCTTTTCCCGGTTGAGACGTAACTTATGGATATCTCTTCATTCTCATTATTTTCAGGTACCTGGACCTCCCCTAAGGTCTTATCATTTGTTACGTCTTGGGGCTCTTCTTGAGCCACTACCTCTGTGTTATGTTCACTTTGATCACTTGCTCCTTTTCTTCTTCGAGGATTTTTATCTTTAGAACCGATTGGTCTACCACGTTTCAAGCATGGCTTAGACTATTTTGTTTTAATTAATTGTCCGGCCAGGATATCAACTCGAATTGGAGCATTAGCAGTTGGAATATGTGACTTAGTCACCCTTGGTAGGTCAGTGAATGCATCTGGCAATTGATTTGCAATATTTTGCAAATGAATAATCTTTTGAACCTCTTGTTCACATTGATTTGTTCGAGGATCTAAATGAGACAGTGATAATGCTTTCCAATCTATCTTCTTTTTCAGCTGCTTATTTTCTCCCCCTAATGTTGGATATATTGATTCATCAAAATGACAATCAGAAAATCTTGCCGTAAATAAATCTCCAGTCATCGGCTCTAGATATTTTATAATAGAAGGAGATTAATATCCAATATATATCCCCAACCTTCTTTGAGTACCCATCTTTGTGCGTTGTAGTGGAGCAATTGGAACATATATCGCACAACCAAATATCCTAAGATCGGAAATATTTGGCTCCTGACCAAAAGCCAATTGCAATGGGGAGCCTTTATGATAACTTGTGAGCCTTATCCGCACAAATGCTGTTGCGTGCAAAATAGCATGACCTCATACTGAAATGAGAAGTTTTGTTCTCATAAGCATTCGTCTAGCGATTAATTGGAGGCGTTTGATCAATGATTCTATTAGACCATTTTGTGTATGAACATGAGCAACCAGATGCACAATTGTTATCCCAGTTGAAATACAATAATCATTAAGAGCTTGGGATGTAAACTCACCAGCATTATCCAGACGAATTGTCTTAATTGCATAATTTGGAAGTTGTGCTCTTAGCTTTATTATTTGAGCCAACAATCTCGCAAAAGCCATTTTGCGAGTTGATAATAAGCACACATGTGACCATCTTGTAGATGCATCTATCAAAACCATATAATATTTGAATGGTCCACATGGAGGGTGAATGAGCCCACATATATCACTATGTATATGTTCCAGAAATGCAGGGGATTCCATCCTAACTTTAATAGTTGATGGTCTAATAATTAATTTTCCTTGAGAACATGCAGCACAAGAGAATTCCTTAAATTGAAGAATCTTCTGATTCTTCATTGCATGTCCATGTGAATTCTCAATTATTTTACGCATCATATTAGAACCAGGATGGCCCAACCGGTCATGCCAAATAATAAAATTATCTTGATTAGTAAACTTCTCGTTTACTACGACATGTGTTTCAATCCTGCTAATACTTGTGTAGTATAAGTTGGAGGAAAGAGCAGGTAACATTTCAAACACATATTTCTTACCGGACATTATTGTAGTAATATAAAAATATTCAATCTTTTCATCATTTGTAGTTTCAATATGATATCCATTTTGTCGAATATCATTGAAACTTAATAAGTTTCTTTGAGATTTACTACAATATAGTACTTCATCAATAGCCAAATTTATTTCTCCTGGTAGTAATAAATTGGCTCTTCTAGAACCTTCAATTAATCTTGTACTATCGGATATTGTATTAACATTCACTTCTTTCATTACCAAATAAGAGAAATATCTCTTATCTTTTAAAATAGTGTGTGTTGTAGCACTATCCAGAAGACATATATCATCTTTATTAATCTTGAGTCCAACTGAAGACTAGAGAATTTTTATATTCTTAATAAAATATGGCTCAACTTAATGGGAGTTAAGAATAAAATTAGAGCTTCGTGCTGATAACGTGTCATAAAATAAAAGCAATGCAGTAAAATGTAAATAAGAAGAGATAGAAAGAAGGAAGAAGTCTTTTCTTCTTTCACTTTGATGTATCTATTACATAGCCTTTTATAGGCATAAAAAGTAATGATGATGGACATAAAGTATGAGATTTAATCTTTAAATTATTCACAATATGGGCATCCAATGTACAAACTATGTTATTCACAACATGGACATCCAATGTAGCATCAAATGTACAAACTATTTATAACAAATTTGTCATTTATTTACTTTTTGGGGCGAGTATAATCGCTCAAAAGCGAATTTGT